AGCGTTTAAGCTATGTTTCCGTATGACTGCCAATATATTAGCAAACTACTGTAAAAATGAAGATGCAAATAAGAGGGTAACTCGTACTACGGATATGTAGCATTGTGAATCCTAAAATGAGGCTATATATGTGTACAAATTTCCACTTGTGTAAAGACACAAGTATCTAACTTACGATCTAGATATCAAATAAGCCTAGGGTGGCTACAATCCACTGCGATAAGCTGGCTGAATCCATGAGCTGAAAGGTGACACTGAAATCGATACTGATAGAAAAGGAATCAGACGGGATGAATTTGTTAACTTCGAGATGAACGATGAAGTAGTTAAAACGCAACACCAAGGTAACCATGAAGACGTCGGAAGTTTGATGTGGCCGAATAAGCTTTCATCGAATCGATGGCAGCCATACAATGAAAAAGGTAGTTTTTTGCCAAAATCCAAGTATACGGATGTTTCCCACAAAATTGCTGGATGTATAGTTGAATCAAAGTTTGAAGTTTTACACCGGAAACGGAATTACTAAAGGAAACACTATTCAACAGACATGAACGCAAAATTTACATTAGTGGCAGAATCATCGCAGTGAAGTAAGTTCAGTATATATTAACAGAAAAGTAATAGATGGCACCTAACAGAAGAATATTCGTTCAATGAATATTCTATGGGAATGGACAAATTTCCGACGGATCTTGGAAACATGTAAAACCTCGTCTTAGACAGTACTAAGATATGAGTCGTCTGTCTGGATTTAGGTAGCTCTTTGTTTTTAGAAAGATGGATTGTAATGATCCACTGCATCGAGAAGTCAAGTCAAGTTTATTAGTTTGTGCAAAGAGTGTTGCCATAAGCATTAGCGCATACGTTACTCTAGGATTAAACAAATGAAATGAAATGTATATACAAAAAAGGTTCATGACAAGGTCAGAATATTATATACAAGTAATTGTACTTGCAGCTGTGGCTACCTTAGAGTCATTATTGTAATTGCATCCAACAGCCACTGCATTTTTGACTACATACAAAATGGAATGTTCTCGATCAGTCTGCTCCAACTACTAACTTAACTAGGAAGACGAATAAATGGATAAGCATACAAATGGTAGCATGGGATATTATTGTTTTTTTTGTTCTAGTCAAGAAGTTGAAATGGCAATTGACAAGACACATTGCATGTAGAATCGACCATCGTTGACCCAGAAAAACAGATTTAATTCTAAGAGGCAGTAAACATTCCGTACGAAGACCTTCTGACCGATCCAGGACGAGCTGGAGAATTGTTCGATCAAGACAGGTAAGAATTTCAAAAAGCGTAGGCTGATGACAAAGTCTTGGAGGTGTTCATCCAGCAATGAATCGAAAAAAGCTACTGGTAATGATACGTAGACAG